CCATTGCGGGCAGGGGCGGGCACCCAGCTCCCGGCGGCCTCGCGGCCAGCAGTGACTCTCTGGCTCTGTCACTGGCCTCCAGTGACAGAAAGGCCACTTGTCTCTTCAATGTGTGTGCAGGTTCGGTGCCTGGAAAGCCGCCTAATAAGCATCAAACGGCAGCGAGACGTTGGCACGTCACAGGAGGAGCAAGCGGGCGGGCCAGGAGGCACCAGGGCTTCCAGCCCGCGCCGGGTCTCGCTGTCACAGTTTCCTAAGCTGGCCTTCGCTCTGTTTCTTGGCGTGACTCTTTTCTTTCCTTGGAAACCAAAAATAAGCATCTCTTTATCAAGTAGGTGGGTTGCCCCCTGCAAGACTTCATGGCCCCTGGAGCGAATGTGCACCCGGTGCCCCCTGGAGTGCTCAGGGCTGTGCCGGAGGCGAGTCCCTTCTCTCACCTTTTTCCCTTCTTCTGAGTCCTCCGGCTGGTCAGCACTGATGCCCCCTGCACGCACGATCTTGTTTGGGTTTAACTGCTTTGTTGTTCCAGCTTTGAAGAATTGCAGGAAATCATCCGATCATGTACATGTAGGAAAAAATCAAACATTATTATTTGTATCCACAGCACCAGGAGGTGTTCCGTGGAAGCCCCTTGTTCCCCTCGTTCCTCCTGCCTTCTTTCCGAAAAGGTGATTTTTTTCATAAATGCTTGAAATTTTGGTGAGAGTCGAATTCCCGCAATCTTCCCAAAAGAAATTCAATTTAATTAGTGACCTTTTCCTCAGCTACTCGGAAGTTCATTCCTGAGCACTCAGTTCTCTCTAATCTCCCCCTCAAGATCACCAGGGTCGTTAGCATAAAGGTTGTGAGCAACAGCTTCATCGCTATGAATTATTTCATAATGTTTATCAAAATGCATCGATCTTTTGCAAGGTTCCGTGGCCTGTGTCACCGTTCACGGCTTTGCTAGCCCAAGACCATCCCCAGAGGGAATTAGGGTAATAAAGGACAATGTTTGAAAATGCGGGCTCTTAGTAATATGACTCTTAGGGAAGGATCTTGCAAGCTAAAAATATTTGAGTCTAACGTGTAATTTATAATACCCGTGCATTAGAATATGAGTCATGATATCTTAGGGAAATGGAAAAATTATTTATAGTCTAGTTTTGAAATTGCTTTGAGCAAATTATCTGCATGACAAGATCTATGCTTCACACGACAGTGACGTGGAGACCCTGTCCTGGCTTGCTCGGCTGCACGACAGGGTAACCAGACATGGGCTGGGCGGGTGAGCAGCAGACGTGCCCTCCGCCGCTGGAGCTGCAGGTCCAAGGTCAAAGGGCCGCCCGGGCGGGCTTCTCCAGAGGCCTCTGTGCCTCCTCGCATGAGGACACCATCCGCTTGGATTAGGGCCTCCGTAGCAGCAACCTCACGCTGCCTTCATCGCCTCGTTAAAGGCCCATCTCCAGGCCCATTCCGAGGTCCTGGGCATTAAGGATTCAACATGCAAATTTAGAGGGGACACAAAATTACAATATTTTACCTTCTAATTTCATACCCAGTGAGAGACTGTTAACAATACTTAGTCGTCCTTGGAATGCAAATAGCATCTTGTTAAAACTTCTAAAGGCAAGTGGGTAAAGACACTGAATGTTGAAAATTATCAACTGTTTCCCCAGAATAAGGTTAATTCTCACCCATTAATAACCGAATTGTGTGCATGACAGTTTATATTATATATAATAATTATTATATATATAAAGGAGTAGAGTCCTTTTTTGGGTGAGCTTTTTTGTTTAAACAAATGCTTTGCCACCTGGATTTTTTTATTTTTAAGTAAAGCTGAAATAGAAGATATTTTTCAGCAGTTTATTCTCTTGTTTGCTTCTTGAGTTCATGGAAATGAGCCCCCAAATCCTGATAGAGATGTTGGATTATAAATGACACATTATCCCTCGCCCGCCCGTGCCGGCATCCTCTGATAAGAGAAGCAATGTCTATAAATCGTATCTTAGTCTCTTCCTTGAATAACAACGATGCACTGTTTTATTATTCCACCTGATCGTTTAGGAACTCATGGGCCAAGCTATTATTACTGAGGCACAAACAGGGACTGCAGTTTCCTTCCCACACTTTCAGAACAAAACTACCTTCGAAGCTTTAGAGGCCAGCCCTGGACTGATAGGCCGAGGGTCTGTGGTCTTGCCCTGTAGTCTGGCCTTGGGGCTCACATAAGCTTTCTGAACTTTGCCTTCCTCAAAATCAAAATATTGTAATTCCCTTTCAACTAGAATGACCTGTGGCTGCTGGAATTTTACTTGTGTGACTTAAGGATGGAAGGTGATCCCCTTTTGAGGGACTTAACCTCCGCCTTGACACTTCCCATCTGGTTAAGCTTTTCACCATCTCCAAGAGCTCATGGATTGAAAGGGGATGCGGCAATCTGAGGCTCCCTCTTCCCAGGTACCCCAGAACTTCATCCGCAAGAACATGTCCCTTAGTGTTTGCTTTGGAGCTTTGAAAGTCTCCTAACTGGGCCAACAGCACGGAAGTGGAAAGGCCTTTCATGGCCGACCCCCTTACAGGGTTTTGGAAGTACAGCTCCTGGAGCTCAATTTTTCTGCTCCCTGAAACTCGATTCTTTTCATGTATAAAGAACACGCAGTGTTCTTCATCAGGATGATCACATGGGGTGTCGGCAAATAGGGTTACAGATTTAACGAGTAAGAATAAAGATACCCACTTTAATTTGAATTTCAGATAAAATGTGGAAAATATTGAACAGGACATGCTAATAATAAAAACATTATTCCTAGTTTAACTAAAATGCAGATTTAAGTGGGCGTCTTTATTTACAGTGTCAGCCCGCAGCATAAAAGCTTCTTGTTCTGCTATGATAAGGCGAATGTAAGTCATTCGGTGCAATAGTTAATGATAGTTTCTCGTAAATACGATCATTTATGTCTTTCAGATGACAACCCTTGTCAGTTGGGATCAGTATTAAAAATCCCGCGGTAGCTCTCCCTCCTCGTGATGATCTGGTTTTCAATTTGAGAGAGAAACTCCAAGTACAGGACTCTCTTTCCGGTGTTGATCGCCTGATTTGTGGTGGACACTTTCAGGGAAAGGCAAATATTTTGAGAGTCGGTGCCAAAGCAGGGTCACTTCTGCGCGTCCTGCTGTCTGTCCTGCTCCGGCTCACCCTCTCCCGCCCTCCCCGGGGCCGGGCTGCCCTTGCCAAGAAGGGCCAGGAGGCTCTTCTGAGCCCCTCGTAAAAAGGGTGGTTGCGAAGGTTCTGTGTCTTCCTGGCACCTGTTGGTGTCCCCTGCACCCAGCTTTGATTGGGGAGTTGAATTTCCAGTATGGAGAGGGTGTGTGTGGTTTGATTTTCTGTGGCAAACTTTCAGAGTGAATATTTTATCAGGTGGAACCAACTAAAGTGATTTTCTCCGCATTTCCTCTGTGGCGTCTTAAGCTGAAGTCTGTCCCTGCCGGGGATGGAGGAAACAGACAGAAACGGCCCCGCGGAGGGAGGGAAGGAACTAAGCCAGCTACTGCCCGCGGGCGCGGCCTCGCCTGGGGCAGACAAGTAGCAGGTGAAGGATCACCCGCCCAGCACTGGGAGCCCCGGGACTGTCCCGGCCCGGGCTGCGGGGGACACGGGGACACTCAGCCGTGTGAGCCAGGACACGGGCGGCGGGAGTCCCAGGACGGCGGCACAGGCCGCTCCAGGCCAAGGCCGGGGACTCGGGGTGCTGGGGAGCCCCTGGAGGCAGGAGCCCTGTGTGTGGAGAGGGAGCTGGAGGGGCCTGTGCTGCTGCTGCTGCCGCCCCGTGTCCTCACGATCGCCCGCTCGTTCCTCAAAGCCAGGCGTGACATGCTTAATCTTCCCGGCACGCGGCATAATTTAATTTCTGCCTGAACCTGCTCAAAAGTAACTTATTTAAGCTGCGGCTTGAGATAAAGTAAGCGATGGGCTGCCAGGCGGCACCCCCCGGGGGAGCCGGCCCCTTCGTCCTCGGTGAGTGGTCGCTGGGGGTGTTTTCAACACACGTTTTATTCAGAATGACGCGTGTCAGCCTGTGTACCCTGTGGAGGCGCCTCCTCTGCCCGAGGGCACTCGCCGCTGGGCGCCCGCCGCCTGCTCTGTGCCAGGGCTGCGGCTGGGCTGCTGGCTGGAAGCGGAGGCTCTCGTCGAGAGTCACCTCCAAACTCACCTCCGCCTCCGTGTTTGTGGCTCAAGGGGCGCCGTGTTTTGCCTCTCGCCACCCTGGAGGGTTCTGGTGAATATTTTCAGGATGGCTTGAGAAGCCTGATGGGCGCTGGGGGTTGGCAGAGGCCGTGCTTGTGGCTGGCACGTGCCCCAAGGTGGCGTCCTGGTGCCGTGCCCCGGGGCCCTGGAGTGTCCGTGTCTGTGTCCAGCCTCGGCTGCAGCCAGGGTCTCCCCAGGCCGGTGGCCGCGCTTAGGCTGACAGGGCCGCAGAGAGCCCGGAGCAGGGGCGTCAGGTCAGGAGGGGTGTTCAGAACAAAGAACTCAGGGAGCTGAGCCCAAGAAGGGCATTTCAGAGAAAGCCTAGGAGAGGGGAAGGATGATCTGGACAGACGGGCAGAGGGACAGGGTGGGATGGACAGCCGGGCAGTGAGGGGCAGGGCGGCTGCTGGCCCTTAAGTCTCTGCAGCCGCCCCCTTGGGCTGCCCTTCGGGCAGGGTCACCCTGAGGCTGACGGTGTGTCTCCCAGGTGGCTTGGAAGCCCCGGGTGGCACCGCTGGCTGCTCTGGGTGTGTGGCTTGTGCCGGACGGGGTGCAGGGTCGCCGGGCGGTTCTTGTCCCACGGCCCGTTCTCCACCAAGGGCTGTGAACTCAGAGACCGGCCTCCTCCAGCTGCGGCCTGGGCAGGCTGGACTGGCCCCCGCCATGGGCATTTGCTGAAGCTGGGAAACCCCTCCTGGGGCTTCTGGCTGCCTCCCCGGCCAGTCAGACCCGCGGGCCTCATCCCCTGCCTTCCCCGCTGCCTTCGCAGATCACGGGACCATTAAGAAGGTACGGGCGCCCCTGACGCCCACCTCGGCCAGCTGCCTGCTGGAGGAGATCGAGCTCTTCCCCGAGAGGCGGCCGGAGCCCGTCAGGAGCCTGCGGATCCTGCACAGCCAGAGCGTCCTGTTCGTGGGCCTGCGCGAGCACGTAGCCAGGCTCCCGCTGAAGCGCTGCCAGCTCCACCGCACCCGCAGGTAGGCCCTGCCCCCCCCGCGCCTGCTCCCCCTCCCGTGCCCCCACAGCCCCGCCATACCCACAGGCAGGCCTGGCCCCCCCTCCACACCCCCACAGCTCCACTGCCCCTATCCTGGGCCCCTGCTGGTGAGCAGTACAGGCACCTGCCCCCTCAGGGCCCTGCGTCCCGGCAGGGGGTTTGGATGATGCACCGTGTGCTGGGGTGACATGAGCCCCTATGTCTGCTGAGGATTAGCCCCTGGCAATGACCGAACGCAGCTGTCAGCTCAAAAGCAATTACTCAGCGCAGGAGTCTACAGCGTGACGCTTAGTCGACTTTCCTACCATCATCGCCGCTGGTTTTGTTTGAATATATGAGGCGCATATTAATATATGTGGATGCATGTATGTGGGCGTGCGTGTGTCTATGTGTGCATGTACATATGTGTGTCCCCCAATGTGGACGTCAGGCAGAGGATGGTGTCCATTGCTGTCCGGTCAGCCCAAAGCTGCCCCCTCCTTGGGAGGCCTCAGAGTGTGTCCCAGGCACCAGCTCCTTCGGGATGCGCTTCTCCTAAGGCTCCATCATACACCCCTGGGGAGGAGGAACAGAGAAGGGCCCCCACCCCTGCCACAGGCCCAGGGGACCCAGCGCCACCTGCCCTCCCTCATGCCCAGGCCAGTCTGCTGTTGACCACAGCAGTGATTGAAGCGCAGTTTGGAAAAAGCAGGTGCAGAGGCCAGGAAACTAATGTCACCATGACCAGGTTTTCTTTTTGATGACTTATGGGGACAGGTAGTGGTTGTGTATTTTTTTGACAAAAGCAATTTTAATTTTCCAAACTACACCTGAAGCAGTACGCTGAATAGCAACAGGGCAACAGGTGAGCGGCCTCTGGGCACTTTGTTGAATGTATTTTTCAAAGTGGAGTAGTATTTTTATTTGTGGATAGAAAATCAGTTTATCAATGAATTTCATTAGAATAGGTATTTAGGAAGAGGAAGTGGCCTTAAGTAAACACCCAGCCTCTTCAAGATCATAGTCATATTTTATTTTTTTTGAAAATCTGATTTTCAAAGGCAACGCCCAGTTGGGTGATCTGTGATGTGTATAAAGGAGAGTTGACCCCAGGCGACACCCTTTCTCGCATCCCCAGCGTGGACCCCACACAGCTCCCGTGTAGACCCCGTGCAGGCCGGTCTAGACCCCACGCCCTCAGGAGCGTGAGCTTCTGTGCAGCAACCCGCTTGATGCTGGACCACCACAGGCTCCATCAACATTTATCAAATTAGCAAATGGACACCCTGCTGCTCCCCAATTTGCTATTTTACTTCATAACCTAAATTTTGAGAAAAAAATTAATTCTTGTGAAAGAGCAGAGCTGCCTTTCTGGAAACCAGCAGTGGCAGGAAACATCAGAAAGAAGGAAATGCTGGGCTGTTGGCGTTCGCTGTGGTGTTGCTAGAAGGTGACTCACACCCTGTAAACATGCAACCAAAAGGCAGGCCTTTGAAGATGGTTTTCATCCTCAAGTGATTTATTTATGTTTTAAGAGTTTAAAAAGATTACTCAGGAAATGTTGTCTTTTTTTTTATTTTAAACTTTTCTTTTATTAAAACTGGAGGGGAAAAAGGGGAACCATTAAGAAAAAGACTTGCTCTCCAGTTGTGAAAGAGTCGCTGGTTACTGGGAACTCATTAGCCTGTAATAGTGTCATTTAGTCAAGCAATTAATGCCTCATTAAGAAAATGAGCACAGAGATTAGGTTCCTGAAGACACGTATTGCTTAAAGGGCAGAGTTTTAAAAGGTGGGGTTAAGAGCTGGGCACCTTTATTAAAGATTTATTTTTATTTATGCGTACAAGACCTGGGGTGCAGGCCAGAAGTGCAGGGGGCGAGAGGATTCCCCTGAGACAGAGTGGGGAGCAGAACAGGTGGATCAACTGAAATACACTGCTGAGAGGAGCAGCCGGGAGACAGGAGAGGTCTGCTGCGCCCTCTGGGTCAGCTCCCTGGCCGGGGATTGAACTTATGTCACAGTGCCTGGTGATAGCTTGATGGAGCTGAGACTTAACCCTGTGCCGCCAGGAAGGCCGTGGGCACCTTTGTTAATGAAATATTCCCTAAAGAAAGCATCCACCCCAAAGGGGGACAAGCTGGGTATGGGGAGACAGCGGGATCCCCAGGGCCACCAGGACCTTGGCCTCCAGTGCAAACCACACAGGCAGTCAGAGGGATGATTCCTTAAGCGACTGTTTTACAAGTAAATATTCTCCCTTCAAAATGAATTTCCTATTTTCTAAAACTCACTGTCTTGACTTTTGTTTGCATTGGCTTTGGTGTAGCCTCAGCAGACTGTGGGTTTCCCTGAGTTAGTTAATTCGTAATATGCTTATTGTCCTAGAGGGTGCTCAGCACCTAGCCAGACCCCCAACTGATGCCCTGACCTATCTCCTTCCTGGAGCTCAGAGACTAAGGAGAAATCCTGGTGCACATGAAACCTCTGGATATTGATGTGGGTCGCAGCTGCTGGCTTTGGAGTCACCTTAGATGTTACCCCCAAATCAAGGAAGCAGCGAGTCTGATTCTGGACTGTTCTAGGACCTGAGTCCTGGGCTAGGTCCCTGAGTATACACTGGCAGTGACTGAGGATGCCTTTTCCTGAGAGCTTCCTCCTGGAAGGTCTAACGTTTGTGCAAGAGGAATGTTCACACGATGGGGGCCCAATCTGATGATTAAATTACACCATGTAGTAAATAAGAAAAAACGTTTTCTTAGGCTGAGATACATCGATCTATTCTCATTTATCTCTAAACATAACGCCACGCCATTTATACTATCAACCTCTAGAATGTTTGAAACATTCTGCACCAAAAATGCTAAACCCGTGAAGGCCACGGGCTCCTCAGCTAACAGGGCAAGGTGAGGAGAGACTTGGCCAAGAGGATTTCGGGTTGTGTGTGCGACGTGAAGTGGGTTCTGGGTGGGGCCAGAGGCCAAAGCTGATGGAGGTTACAAGATTCCAGAAAGCACATTTGGTTATTTCAAACGCTCTCCACTCTCCTTCCTCATTGTTTTTCATCATCATTGTTTTCGAAACGCTTCCGTATAAACGTTTATCAATCGTAGAGTTTTAAAACAAATTTTTCTTGAAACTTCGAGTGCTCTGTCTGATAAGGCTTGAACCAAAAACTGTTCATTTGAAGTTACTGGTAGTGCCAATCAATTATAAGTTAATCTCAAAGCAGGTTGAAATCTGAGAAATCCTCGCTGTAGTTAATCCGTATCATTTCGTGATAGTCAGGCGTGAATCGTAGTTTTTAATGTTTTAAAAGTCAGGGATAACCTGATAGTCTAGTTCATTCATTTCCTTAACAAATCATAGCATGTAACATGAATTATTATTAAATGCCTTTAGCAAGTTATGCATGGTGGGTATGATCATGTATTTTACTAGTAATTATGTCTGTTACTGGGCGTGTGTCCCAGCTTAGAAGCTGCTGTTAGAGTTGTAGTTGTATCTCAGTTCTGCCTGGGAATTATAAATTAATCTTCTCTGACACATGTTCTATCTACAGCCAAATTTCTTTGCCAAAGCAAAGCCCCCACCCTTCCATTCCCAGTGATGCAGGGAACCCAAACTTCAGGACTTCAGGGGAAACTGGGACAAGCTGCCGGGCTCCCCTCCCAGTGTCACAGCAGGGACCCGCGTCGTCCTCCCGTGGGGCTGTGGCGTCAGCCTCGATGTCACCCCTTCCTGGCCTGCCACTGGCCGCCTCTCTCTCCCGAGTCCTGGGTCACAGTCCTGGTCGTCCCCCTTCCTGTGCTGTGGTCCAGCTACATGCCTGTGGCCTGCTCCCCGCTGGGTGCAGGTCTCCTCCTGGGCCCTCCATCGTCATCACACAACCTGGCCCTGCTGCCCAGGAGTCAGACACGGTTGTTAATGGATGCACCTGTGCAGCTTAGAGGCCGCCCGCTTTGTGGGGTGCACCGTGGACTCTGACATCACCCTGTTAACTGAGGAGCCCATGGCCATCATGGGTTTAGTATTTTTGGTGCAGAATGTTTCAGACATTCTAGAGGTTGATAGTATAGAATGGTTTGGCATTATGATTAGAGATTAATGAGAATAGATCGATGTATCCCATGTCAAGAAAATGGTTTTCTTACTTACTCTATGGAATAATGTAATCATCAAAACCATTCCTATTGTTTTGAGAGTGATGGCTTGGTGATATTGTCATTCCACTTTTGCAAAAGAGAAAACTGAGGAAACGTGTTCTGAGGATTTGCCGCATGAGAGAGGGGTAGATGTCTTAGAATGCATTTCTCAAGAAGGTTATGGCCTGACTGTATTTTTTCAGTTGTTTTTCTAGCAGTATTTTGAATGCAACTCAAAGGTGTCAGTATCCAGGAATGAGGCCCCTCAGACCATCCAGGAGGGACAAGGGGCCTCTGTGGAGATACGCGACCTCTCCACCCCACTGCCTTCATAGAAACAAGTGCTTGTATTTAACAGGTGGCTTTTGCACCATGTCAGCTAAAAATCAACGGAGGCAGGCAAAATTAAGTGAGTTTATTAAAGAATCAGGGCTGAAGCCTCAAGTCAGGGAACAGCCTCCAGTTAGCTCTGGGAAAGCTGCTTGAAAGTTGAGCTTCTTAGGGAAGATTACATCCAATTGGAGAGCTTGCGGAAGTTTTTTCAAGGATTTTCTGCAGAGGCAAAGAAAATTTAGATAAGGGTCCTGGCAAAGCATCTAGCTGATTTGCCTTCACATTGAGGGAAACAGAGAGAGTTGTTCAAACTCCCTAATCAGTTTGGACCCTCACTCCTGGGCACTGGGAGTTTTAGCAAAGTCATAAGCCTTGAAGTCTGTCTTTGAAGTCGTGGATTTGCCTGGAGGTAGTTCTTTTGAGATTCTGCATTTATCACAGAGGCCGCCTCTTCCCAAGACCAGGCCAGCTGTGACCTGACTCTCGACTTCTCCTTAGCACCTGCGAGCTGGGTGTTCTCTTAATTGTTGATTTTAGTTCACAGCAGTGTTGGGGAAGCACTTTAAAGGGTGCAGCAATTACAGGGACACCCCAAGGCTTTTAGGAGGTGGGTGAACTAATCTTCCTGCATCTCCTCCTCAGCTCAACCAAAGTCAGCCTGCGTGCCTTTGCTTCTTCAAACCCGAGTCTCCCACTTGGGCGCCTTCCCGGGTGATCTCGTGTTCTGCTCTGGTGTCCCCTGTTGCTTCTATTCACTTCGCTGGTCCTGGTTTCAATGCCACGCCCCATGTGCTCCCGCACCTCAGACCCATCCACTGAAATGGGGGTTCCCCCTTTTGGTCTTTCTTCTTAGCACTGGTTGTTGACGTGTATCACTGTAATTGTTCACTGTTTATTTCCTTTACTCAACATAAATCCTTGGGGTGCAGTGACTGTGTCTCCTTTGCCAACTCGTGCACCCGGACTTTCAAAGTCTGGTCTTGGCAGATGCTCCAGGTATGAGCCAAGTGAGCGAATGATTGAAACACTTTTCAAATCCCATGTTTAATGAGCACATTTTGTTCATATGGCAGGAATTCTTAACAGAAGAACTAAATGACATACTGCCACAGACAAGCCAGATAAAATCATTAGTACTTAAATAATCTAATGTGCAAGGCCATCATAATCAGTAGCACTAACTTTCCAGAAATGTAGTCAAATGAATTAAGAAATATACCTATTTAACAAACATGCTTTTTTTCTTATACTCAAGTTAACATATAAGCTACGAACTTTAAAATGTAAAGGAAGGATTTAGATGAATATCAATGTCATTGTCCTAGAAATAGGAAAATAGTTTAACCTTCTAGAATTAAGGTTTGCTTGTAAAACACACACTCACCTCCAAAACACATATTCAATAAATGTATTTTCAAGTTAAACCTTCGTATTCTAACCAATATGTTTCCTGAATTCAGATACTTTCAATTATCAGGGCAGTTTATAGAATGAGAATAATCTAAGACTTTTAGTAAAAAAAGGAAACATTTATGTTAAAATGATTCATTATGCAAAGAATGATATCTTCAAAGCAGAATGAGGAAAAGCCACTTTGGTGATGACTGTGTTCACAGGAACTCTGGATTGTCCACCTGGGTTCTTTGGAGCCCTGAATTCCAAAATTAATACCTAATGAGGACCAGTTTTTTTTCAAACATAATTTAGGTAGAGGTAGAGCTTAACAGAATTTTTCCCATGGCATGAAATACTTTAAATGCAGAGAAGATATTTTTACCTAAGTGGTGTTTTTAATGAATGGGCGTTGTGTTTGCAGAAAGGCTTTAATATCTTAACAGATAATGGAATATTACAACCATGCAGAACCATGCATTACCATCAGCATTACAAGAAGACAAAGATGTTAGTAAAAGCAGCTTTTCATTTATAGCAGCTCAAAATATTCCATGGAACCCTGTGTTTAAATGATATAATGATTTTATATTGCACAGTAGGTGTTCAACAAATAATGCCTGTTATTAATGGGATAATGGTGATGCTGGTGATGCTGATAGTGGTGATGCTGATGGTGGTGATGTGATTGTGATGGTGATGATGATGATGATAATGATGGTGGTGGTGATGGTGACAATGATGGTGGTGATGAGGATGATGGAGGTGATGATGATGGAGGTGAGTATGGTTGTGCTGGTAGTGAAGGTCATAACAATATTTGTGAGTGTTGCAAGATTTTGACTTTTGCTCCCCTTGTGACACTGAATGACTTATGGTGTCTTATGTTTTAGAGAAAAAATAGAGATATTTCAACCAAAATCAATGATCAAAACTGAATTTGATACTTGATGGTGTAGGCAAATAGCCATGTTCTCCAGGGTACTGACTAAAGCTTTTCCACGTCAACTCCGAGGGCCAGGCGGGTCTTGGTGGGCCGCGCTGTGCCTGTCTGCTGACCTTTGCTGTCGCCTGCAGTGCCTGCATCGGGGCCCAGGACCCGTACTGTGGCTGGGACGTGGGAATGAAGAAATGCACCAGCCTGGAGCAGAGCCTCAGCATGACGCAGTGGGAGCAGAACATCTCCACCTGTCCCGTGAGTGTCCCGCCCTCTGCTGGGCCACCAGAGGCTTCCAGGGAACCCAGGTCTCCTGCCATCTGAACCCCCACTGGGGCCCATTCACATTCTGATTAGAACTTTTCCTACTAACCCATGCAGTGGCTGCTTGACTCGTTCAGCTCCTGCCTTGCACATGGCCATGCAGGGTGCGGTGCTAGGCTTTAGGCTATTGTGAAGAGTAATTGCTTGGGAGAAATCAGTGCTGGTTTGCCAATGGAGTGGACAAGCTCTGTTGGATTCTTGGATTTTTAATTCCAGAGTCTGTTGTGAACTGTTTCCCATTGTAGCAGTCATAAAATCAATTTTATCAATTTATTAAACTCAATTAAAAATTAATAGTATGAGTTAAAATAAGTAACTTCCACACCCATGGCTCTCCCTTGGGAGTTAGTTCAGCAGCTAAGAGAACTAGAGCTTTTATTTTAAAGTTGTATTTATTTATGCATATAAGAACTGGGGTACAGGCCAAAGGTGTGGGGTTGAGTGACGTCACCAGAGACAGAATGGAGAGTAGAGAAGGCAGATCTACTGAAATCCACTGCTGAGAGCAGCAGCAGGGAGACAGGAGAGGTCTGCTGCACCATGTGGGTAGCTCCTGGCTACCTCAGGGAGCTACCTCAGGCCATTATGGTGGTAGTGCTGAGAGTTAACCCCTAGGCCACCAGGGAAGCCCTAAAATGGCAGCTGTAATGGAGAAACAGGCAGAAGAATCAATAGCAGCTCTCCATAAATCGTCACCTCAGCTCTGAATGCAACTGAGAGGCGACCTCTGAATCACTGCCATAAAACACGTATCACATGGTCCTTTTTTCCTTTCTGGTACAGGGGATTAAATTATATAAAACCCTCCCAATGTAATATAATTTTGTCACCTATCAAGATGTACTTTTTATTGATAAGAAATATGCAAAGATTCCAACAACAGATAATAAATGATATCACTTTAAGCAAAACACAGAAAACCACCTATTTTCCTGATTTAAGCTAATTTATCTAGAAAATGGGGAATTCCATATTACCCAGCTACTATTTTAATTAACTATCTTTTTAAAAGTCTCTTTTCAAAAGAAACGAACCAGATGAAAATTATTAGCATTAATGTGGAACAGTCTTAGGTATTTTTAAAAGCTATTAAAATGTAATTTTTTCTATAATTTTTATTGTACTGGAAGAAAAGCTTGATTTTTGTTTCAATCTATCCTATTTTATCATTTCTGATATGCCATTGGCCGTGAAGCATATTACTGTTCTGTATGTTGCTAAGAAAAAAATGCTGCCATCGCCTGCACCCTGCAGCTGGTAGAGGGGATGGTGGGTGGGTAGAGGGATGACATACATTTTATATCACACGCATGTATGCATGTCTTACCATCACTTAAGTGCTTTCCTATTTTTTTCTACATATTATTTGTCAAAGGGAAATGCATGGGATTAGGGGTTTTCGAATGAGACCAAAGTCCAACATCCAATGTCACCGCCCAGGCTGAGTGATGAAGGAGGGGCCCCGCGACATTGAGCTCAGCAAGAAAGGACTGTGGAGCCCGATGAGGCTAATCCCAGACTCTTCTGTGTGAATCTAGTCAATCTTCATGACAGGACAGGCACCGCTGAGTCCCTGAAACGAGTGTGTCCCTTAAAGCTCATGTGAGGCTGTCATTTGCCACTTACATCCTCTTCTCTCCAGAGAAGTCAGGTTGGTGTTGGGGCCTCCCCTCCCCAGAAAACTCTCCGGGTTCTTCGTGACTTAAAGGAGACCTATTTTCCACTAAAAGATCTCGATTTGAAAGTGTTTACCGATTTCTGTTGTCTGGCAAACGGGGCAGGCATTGACTGACATATTGATTAACATTCTGTTAGTTTCTATAACTGAGTTTGAAAGCATTGTCCTCAATTTAAGAGAAGTGAAGTACTTGAGCGAAACCAAAACTGACATTTCTGGAATAAATCGATTACTCTATGCCCTGCCCACTTGTAATGCTGCCTAACGAGGACAGCATGGTCTTACAAGTCTCCCTGGTTTTTATTCTTTTTCATTGATGCCGCCCACATCCTTTGCGGTCTTGATGACTAGTACACCATGCGGGGGGTCCTGTCCTAAAATAGATCGTGCAATAACTAGCAAAATACATGGACCGACTCGGCAGTGAAGGGCCTGGAAATAATTGGATTCTTTTGGGCTAAACTGCAATTAGTGGAGGAAAGAGACATCATCCCCCATTGAGATGACACAGCCCAGACCAGAGTCTCCGAGTCCTTGCACACGTTTCTCCAGCTGCACTCAGAAGTCGGGGCTTACGCGCAGCACTGCCGACAGGACCTCGCATCTACAGCACTGTCCCGTCCGTGGGTCACCCTCTCCCAGAGCCGGGCTGACCGGCGGGCCCCGCGTCGGCGCACACCACAGCGGACGTTCCTTCTGGATTTTGCGATGAAATTGACTCTAAAGAAGAAAAAGAACTAAGGTTCATTGTGTGTCGGGACCATGTGCTCTGCGCTTGTTCAGCGACTCCCGGGAGCCCATCTGGCTTAGTGTTCACGAGGCCCCGGGGTGGACGTGGTCTCCACCAGATAAGGTTTGGGACCCAGAGGTAATACATTAAGGTCATCCCCGTCGCCGTCCAGCCGGAGGCCACACAGCACTGCAGCTCCATCCCCTTCCCGGGCCTGTCTTTTCCTTCCTGCCATTCCCCTGCAAGGGAGACTGAGCCATGGTGCAAAGTTGATGCGAAGTTGATGAGATACCAGGAGACAGCCCAAGGGGCGTTTCCATTGTCCTGTTGGTTACCATCTCTGACAGAAGACATAGGATATGACATGTGGAAAAAGAGGAAGATGCTTTAATCTTGAAAAAATTCTGAATAGAAAACAGAAAACATTGATTTGGTGGCAAGAGAGTGGTGGCTGGAGTAGAGGAGGAACGTAAAGATACGCCCCGGGGGTCCCCATGCTCGTCCCATGCATCCGTGCCCCTGGTCAGTTAGAGACACAGGAGCCGAACTTGCAAGGGTGAAGCGTGGCCAGTGTGATGCTGAGCAAACCCTGTTTCAAGCAGGCTTCAGTTTCCCTCTCTGCAAAGTGGGATGTGACTCCGAGGGATGCTCTGAAGATGGAGCAGCCACAGTTGAATTGCTCAGCCCTGTTTCTGGCAGGTGCTGAGCTATAGGTGGCAGGTGATTCACTATGGTTTAATATTTAATAACATAAAGCCTATGCCCCAAATAAAAGCGTCTTGGCAGAACCCAGAGGATGGTACAACTCTAGGCAATTTATTCTCGACAGCTTTATTTTGAAAGTCTCTTTAAGGAAGCTAAACCAATGTCCAAATCGTCTGTCATCCATAGAAAAGCAAAACCAAGAACCTAGTACATTGTTCATGGTCCGCTTCCTAAGAGGATGCTCAAGTAACAACACTCGGGCTCAGGGAGCAGGTGGTCAGCGTGCACGGGTCTTCACCCACATGCTCTCGTCTTTTCTGAAGACTGCAGCTTCTGCTTGCTCAGAACCTTCTAGGACCAACACAATATCCTTGGATTGAAAACTCTGCCCCCCAACATAGGCAGCTGGCCTGTTGCTAGAAAAAAAATAAGCCCTGGACTAGCCCTGCAGCATTGCCATCACCTCTGCACCCCAGCCCCTCGAGATTTACCCTAAGGAACACGTGGCTTGGAACCTCCATGCTGCCAGGAACCAGGACAGGACCGAGTCCTTCCCTCCCCGTCTGCCTGTTTCTCTCACTCTTGGTGCCCCCACTTTGCCCTCCCTTGGTTCCTTTCTAACCGCCTCACTGAAAATGTAGCTATGTAAAGCCCCTGAGCTGGCCGTGGAAGGGAAGCCGTAGAGACTGACGAGACAGGACAGAAGCAGCACGGCCCGGGCGAGGCCCCACCCAGGGTCAGGGGAAGCCAGCAGCTTGGAGAGGAGCTCACGTTTGTCGATTAGAAACGACCTAAGGTTTAGCTATTGCCTGTTGTATTTGGGGAAACAAAGAAACAAAAGTAAGTCTCACCCAATTTTTCACATGAAAAATGGGGTGTGGGCACAACTCGGAGAGGGCGGGGTACAGGCGGAACCCGAGGTCCCCAGCACAGGTCATCTCTCAAGCTGAGTCTGGTGCAGATGACCGGCCTCCGAAGGCCTCGCGAGTTCAGGGGGGACCTTGGGCGAGCAGGTGGCGGGGTTCTGCTTGCGTTGCTCCTGGTTGGCCACATTCATTTTGCTTACTTTTGGAGGTATGTGAAAGTGCAACGGGATTGGTGATCTGTGATATTTCCCTCCAAAATGCTTGTTCCTGGGCTTCTCCCATGCATGGACATGTCGGTCCTCACCTGCCGGCCCCAGCACCACCCTCCCCTTCCTGTCTGCCTCCTCCTGCCTCCTCCCCTGGACCTCCTCCTGGCTCAGCATCTCCACCAGCGGCCGCTGCTGGCTTGTGTTGAAATGCTGCCCCTCAGCCCTCTCTCTCGGCGACAAGCCTCTTCCCCGAGCTCCAGTGTCTGCTGAGAGATGGCCTCGCTCTCTCCAGCATGGGCAGCCGCCCTTCCTGACATGCTTGCCTGCTTCCCTTCCAGACGAGGAACCTCACGGTGGACGGGCACTTCGGCCCCTGGTCTGCGTGGACGCCCTGCACCCACACGGACGGCAGCGCCCTGGGGTCCTGCCTCTGCCGCAGCCGCTCCTGCGACAGCCCGGCCCCCCAGTGTGGCGGCTGGCAGTGCCAGGGCCCCCGCATGGAGATCGCCAACTGCTCCAGGTGACGTCCCCAGCACCCAGGGAAACGCAGACTCTGCAGGGTCCAAGGTGGCTCCTGGCACATCCCTTCTAGAGTCAAGGGACAGGTAGCCCCAAACAGGGACGCTGGCCTCTCAAAATGATGCGATTTCTGAAAGGAGACTTTGATCTTTAAATTAGATCATGGGGCGACACCTATTCACTTGCTTCTCATTGGATTCAGGAGATAGTGCTTAGTTACCTTGCTTTTATTGACATAACCTTGGTTGACAACACTACATGATTTAGGGGTGCAGGTTCCCACCTGTTGGGGTGCATGTCACCCCATCACCCCCCCTCCCCACCTCCGCCTCTGGCAGCCTCACTTCTGCAGTCAGATTCTAGGGAAAATATTTCTAATGAACATGGTTCTACTGTTTGTTTGAGGGAAACATCCAGGCTGGTGAGGATCCTCTTCTGGAACATGCACACTCATGGCCCCTCCTGGGAGGCTCACACATCTGGTGGAGACTGGTCTGACCACCAAAGAATATTCTCCTGAACCTGACCGGCCATGCCAGAGTAGTTGTTTAATTTGTTGTTTAATAGTGGGATAAACTGATAAGGAAGATGTTGACAGTATAAGCATTCTACGTGCAGGCATCACAGAGAAAATATTCTATCAAACAAAAATGATACATCCAGAATTCGGTAACACTATATTTTTTAAAATGCCTCATTTTATTTTTGTTTTGCATCTTTATATATCTGCTTTATATTTAACATAAACAGATACAGATATAATCACACACCATATTTATTCTCTATGTCTCTGTAAATTTGCAAGAAAGTAGCTAAGAATCTGAATTTAGAATTAACTCCCTTCATTTTAAATGAAGTTCGTTTTAAAACTTTGGCCGTTCTGGTGCTCCTCAGCAACCTAGCTGCTGCAAAAGTTTAGTTTTCCTTGATGCTAATAGATTTTGAAAGCAAGATTTTGCAGTTTTAGATGTTTATTTTGTTCAAATATTTACTTTTCTTAAGAGGACAAGTCAAATTAAATAATACACGAGAGGTTCTGGGCTCCCCATAACTTACTTTTCACGAATACACCGTTTCCAACTAAAGTTTTTTAATTCCTTCTAATAATGTAGCCTGTTTGTACGCGTCACTGTTTTTACGTGTAAAACAGTGTGGTTAACTTCACACGTCACTCTCAAAGCCCCCGTCTTGGCTCTGCACTCAGATTCCTGGGAGGAGAAAAACTCACCTGAAGTGCCCTTCAGGGGACCCTGGATGCCGAGTTCTGGGCCACAGCCACCCCCAGATGGCCGGGTGGGGTGAATTTGGGGTGGGTGCCGCTGTGGCCCTGTCTGACCGTGCAACCTGTTGCGTCCCCACTGCAGGAACGGAGGCTGGACCCCCTGGACCCCGTGGTCCCCCTGCAGCACCACCTGCGGGATCGGCTTCCAGGTGCGCCAGCGGTCCTGCAGCAACCCGACGCCGCGCCACGGGGGCCGCGTGTGCGTGGGGCAGAACCGCGAGGAGAGGTACATCCCCTGCCTGACCTCACCACCCAGGGCACACCCCGTCCCAGCTGGGCTCCCCCGGCATTCACTGCTGGCCCTGGCTTAGCTTCCCGGCCGCTTGCCTTTCCGTTGAGCCGAGTTGCCTTCTCGTTTTCCTGACATCCCTTTCATCTGGACCGCGAGGCCCCCTGAGGCCAGCGTCCTGTTGCCATGGCACCTGGGGTTGGCCCAGCGAGATCCCCCGGACAGTGGCACCACTGAGCTGGGCCCCTGGAGACTGGGCGAGTGAGTCTGCCGGAGAAGGGCTGTTGTTGTGAGACTATGGTTTCCTCACTTTGTCCCTAAATGGTCAATTAAGAATTTATTCCTTTTAACTCTCAGTGGAAAATGCAAGATGAATCTTTCAAAGCAGTTTGCGGTTTCTTTAAGCCTCCCTAACAACGCCCCCACCCCACATCAGCCTTGTACCATCTGTCATTTCTGAGCTAACCCCTTTTGGAAAGCTAATTATGCACTTATTTACCTGCTATTTCCAAGCCTAGAAGATTTAAAATTGGTGGGAGATTTGAAATGCTGTACATCATCACATAATCAGTCTGTTCAGGCAAACGCCACCTTCATCCAGGTAAAGCACCCCCAGAATCCCCACATGCTTCACACCTGGTAGCACCTGTCCTAGGCTGAGCTCCCTGGAGGGAAGAAGCTAATTTAACTCTGTGGTTAACATACAGATATGTTCCGTATCCATTTAGGAGGGTTTATAAAGCTACATTTTCAGAAAAGAGATCAGGATGGCTAGCATGCTTGGGAAACTTACATTAAAATGCTCATTTATTTTACAGAAGAAACTCATTTGGGCTACATAAATATTTGGTTAGTGGGGGAAAATTGAAATTTAAGTAGTAAATGGATGATGCTAACAACAGAGACTATGTGAGATGTTTGTAATACTGAGCCCTCCCTATGAAACAGCCTTTTTGAGAGGAAAAGGGGTGATCAATAAATTAATGAAAAGTAGAAAAACCAAGTCCACAAGATCTACTTGATCTTCACAAGTAAATAGTTTTTAAAGTCCTTGCCATGTAATGTGGGTGGTCTCCACCTGAGTAATATAAGGAATTCCATCCTGATTCTGAAAATGGAAGTATTTGAGAACTAAATTCAGGAATAAATGGCCTCCCTAGAAAGGTAAAATATTGCAAGAACAAGCATACGCCATCATTAATAAACTCACACCATGATAATTTAAACACCATGAACCCTTAAGAATTCCTGAGTGACCACAAGTGAATAAATTCATTCTCTCAACAAAAGTCCCTAAGTTAAATGCCAGGATTATTGTTAATGGCTTTTTATTTGGGAAAACTTTCCCATGCATAGAATGATTCAGTGGGAACTTCACTGGGACAAAAATCTCAGAGCTAGCTATATCCGTTTTTTGGTAAGTAATGGCTAAAGAAAATATCTAATATTTTAAATGTAGTATAGGTACTTTGTTCTTCTGTTCTAAAATTTCCTAGAAAATAATTTTCTTGAGTAGCAGGAACTGAGTAGAAGCAGAGATTCCCAGAGGGACCTCAAACAGGATGAATAATGGACATCTGTGAATATAATCAAAGAGCAAGTGTGATGGACCCTTTAGTTTTCTCCAGTTATATAATATAATAAATGTTCAACATACTTTGTTACTTAAAACAACACATATCATGATCTCGGAGTCCCAAGGAGTCAGGACATACCTGGCTTCTCTGCTCAGCCAGAGCTGTGGTCTCATCTGAGACTTGACCGGGGATGGGTTGACTCCCAGAGACCATGTGGCTTTTGCCAGTATCCCATTCCTTGTGGACTGTGACATGGGGTCCCCAGCTTTTGACTAGTTGTTAACCACAAACTGCCCACAGTTTCTCATCAAGTGGTCCTTCCCAATATGGTCATTTGCTTCCTCACATCCAGCAGGAAGAGTCTCCACAGGAGGAACTTTAGAGTCGTAGGTAATGTAGTCACAAAGTGACCATCATCCCCTGGCCGTATTCTCTTGATTGGAGGCAAGTCACAGACCCTGTCTCAGGAGGAGGGGACTCCACGGGGAACGACTCAGGGCAGGGGTCACTGAGATCACTGTAGAGAGTCTGCCTGCCATAGGTGATGACCTGCCCTCCATCCTTCACGTCCTTCCCACATGCAAAATGTGCTTCACACACTTATGAGATCCCCAAGGTTTTATTCTACTAAATCACTTACCAGAAGTCCGGAGCCTTGTCATTTAAACAACATGCAAATGGGAGTGAGCCTTGTCATTTAACCAACATGCAAATGGGAGTGCGACTCTGTCGGGGTAGATCATTTCATTCTGTCAGCCTCGAAAATGAGGGACAAGTCATCCCTCATGAGTGCCCCGCCAGGCCCCGCAGTGAGACGGACCCAGTCTTTACATGTTTCTGTTCCAAAGAGAGAAGAGAAGTTATAGAGGAGTCACTGCTCCTTACATTTCTGAAATCCACTCAGCCAAGCCCTGGGAATTACTGAATTGGGGTTCAGGAACCAAGCACGATGCTCTCCATCCTGCTTCCTAAGTCACCCTTCCAATCTCAGGAGAGGCAGCGTGGGCTTGCTTCCTGCCCAGAGAATTTTAGATTTGGTTGTTTTCTCTGTATCTTTCAGCTCAAGCTGGTGGTAGGTTTGCTGAAATAAGCTTTGTGGATCCTCTGTGGCTTTATTTGGGCCTTACCCCACTGAATTAATCTACACCCACACATCTTTTTGAGATAGTCTTTCTCTACCTGGCATCCTGCCAAGGGACAGTCCCCTACCCTTGAGCCCTGGAGGAAGTTTGCTGATTGAGAGGCTCATCCTTCCTCTTACCTCTCACAAGGACCTTCCTGTAATGGGTCCTTTGATCTTTCTGAGGTTTTAGCAAAAGGTTGTACAGTCACACCCTCGGATTTTTATTCTTTCAATCCTTTCTGAGCATCCATAAAGTCTAGATTTGAGTTTTCTTTATCATGCCCCTCAAAATTCTTGCTTCCATCCATCCCCTGACCCCAAAGCCATGGTCGTATCTTCAGGTGTTTCTTAAGCAGCAGTGACATCTAGGTACCAATATCTGTCCTCCTGGTCATTGCATCTGTAATAACATCACCACAAACCAGATACTTCAGACACTGTGTGTTTGTTGGCTCACAATTTTTGTGGGTTCAGCACCTGCACATTGGGTCCTTGGCTTCAAGATCTCACAGAGCTTCACCATAGGGCAGACATGGCTGTGGTCTCATCTGGAGCTCAACTGGAGGAGGGTCTGCTTCCCAAGCCCATGGTTGTTGGCAGCGTTCAGTCCCTCCCTGGTGTGCTGTCTGACAAGGTCATTAGCAAGAAGCTGCCCTCAAGCCCAAAGCACCCGGGAAACCTTTCTACCTGACAACTTATTCCTCAAAGAGAGCAAGGGAGCATTTCCTTGGGAGAAGGGCACTGTAGTCCTCCATGACATCCTGGGAGATAATCTGTCATCTTTACCATGTGCTACTGCTTAGAAGTAACTCATTGGTCCTGTCCACTCAACGGGCGATCACGCAGGGTGTGTACTCGAGACAGGGGCCCGGGAGCCACATTATAATCCATCATTATTGATAATCTATGCATTACCATGAGTTCCAGGAAACAGTGGGGCTTTATTATGTGATTACTCCTTGTCTTTATGGCATGTTTATTTAATCCTATGGTGAGTCAAAGTGATGCTCTTTGCAAGTAACTGTTCCCCCCAGTGGGTTCTCCTGCTTTCTCTTGGGGTAAAAGTTACTCTGTGGTCTACTAGCAAATGTACTGTTTCTCTGGATTTAGTTCTTCCAATGTGACCAGCAAAGGGACAGTCACTCAGGGCAAGCCAGGCAGAGATGCTTCTGACAGGAATGTGGCTAGTGCAGGCTGACAGAGTAGCAGCGCGGAGCAAGCATGGGCCGAGCCAGAGCAGAGCACAGTTTACAGCATGATCATGAAAACGATCACAACCTGTGCCGAGAACCTCATCTCTGTGAGATTAGGAAAGGTAATTCTTTCATAGAGATGAGGTTTGTGGAATAATTTTTAGAGAAACATTGCTGGGTTAGTCATTTACTTTTAAGTGCAAAATGAGAATGAGCAGTCATGGGCACAATTAAAATCTTAATTTTTAATACATCATGAAATGCATCTGTGTCTTTCAATGCTTTAAGAGACGAGAACTCCACGACAGCCACTAAAATTTCAAAAATGTTGAACTGCTGTTAGGTGAAAGCCAGCTGTGTGTAGAGGACAACAGAAATGAGTGGCCGGCAGCTGGCTCGTGATGTTGATGTTTTATCCACAAATTAGTAAAAGTTCTTGAGCAAGGAGCATCATCAAAGTAACTAACTTTGCTTTCCTGTTGTCATTTATCACCAAGAACATGAGCAGGGGAACGCAGGTAGTTTGCCTAAAGGTGCTTCTCTCCAAACAGGTGTGAGTTGCATGGGAGGGGGAGCAGGAGAAATCATGGTTCAGTTGACGTGCTTTTCCCTAGAAGTCAAGGGATTTATAAGCATTTCCACTGAGATTGTCTTTGTCCTCCTTATCCTTTACATTGTGCGCTTGGTTGTTTGTGAAGCAGGGCTTAGGCTGAAGGAGGCTGGGGTCCATACCTCTTTTTAAATTGTGTTATTTTCTATTGAGGTAACGTTGGTGGCCAACAATGTAGTGACTAAGGGTGCAGGTTCAGCCCCTTCAGATATGTCACTGCACACACCCCACCAAAGCACCAGCCCTCTTAAATGTTGGCAAATTGGCTTGGAAACAGGAGGTGGCCTTCTGCTGCCCCTGCTGCCCACTCTGGGAAAAGCTCCCCAAAGAATCTTACATTAAATGCTGAGGGTTCTGACATTCCACGTTTTCTCGACTTCTTCTGAAAGCGATTAGTCGGTGGACTATTGGTTCACATAGTCCCTTTGATGCCGGATGCAGCTCACTAACTTGGCCTCCACTTCGAATGCTCTTCCTCCCCAGGAGCCATTTCCTGCGTGTGACTGTTGTTGTTTATTTTTCCCTCTCTTCACCTCATTTCACTTGCCAGCTTAGAGATGGAGGAGAATGTGGGGTCCCTGAGGGCTGAGAAAGCCTGTGTGTCTGGCTGACAAAGGGAGTAGCAGAAGTGTGGGTGTTCAATGAGAACACCTCAGGTGTGGGGGCCTCCCTGGTGGCGCAAGGGGTTAAGACGCAACCTATGAAGCTAACTGCAGCCTCTGCAGCATGAGTTTGATCTCTGGCCAGGGAGCTACCCACATGGTGCAGCAGACCTCTCCTGACTCCCCGTTGCTCCCCTCAGCAGTGTATTTTAGTCAGTCTGCCTGTTCTGCTCCCCACTCTGTCTCTGGTGAATCTTCTCACCCTCCCACACCTCTGGCCTGCACCCTGCTCTTGTATGCATAAATAAATAAATCTTTAAAAAAAAAAAAAGAATACCTCAGGCATTCTCTGAGAACAGGGACAGGTATTTGTGAATAGTAATCAACAATTTTTTGATGACTGGTGATCCTTTTAAATTAAGGTTTTTGACATCATTCTGAGAGTCTACAAATAAATGTAAAAGGACAGTCCCCTGCGCAGTGTGGGGACTGATGTGGCATGCTAACACCGGCCTGCCCCCTCTCCTCGGCTGGTATTGATAGGACGACAGGTCTTATTCAATGAATTCCAAATTCTCTTGTGCTGACTTTGTTTTTGTAACCTCTTTATCTTTCAGTGTTTATGTTTACAAGATAAATACCCCGCCTAGATCGCGCCTGTGTGCTTTCATTTCCTGGTGCCTATTTGAAGGGTTTTGTTTTGTTTGTTTCTCTTTTAATTGGCTGCACAGGAAGATCCATCCTGCATTGTGAGTTTAGTATTTTCTTCATTGTCTCCTGTGCATCCCATTGTCTGTGCCCACGCAGCATGGCCAGCGCCACCTCTGCTCCTTGGCTGTGCTACCACTCCAAACACAACAGCCCTCCGCACAGAGCATGTCCACGCCGTCCACTCCGGTGCAGCAGAAAGGACTCTGGCCTTGTGTCATGATGACCCTTTGCTTTTCCTCTTGCCCCCCCCCTTACAGGTACTGCAATGAGCATCTGCTGTGCCCCCCACATATGTTCTGGACAGGCTGGGGTCCCTGGGAACGGTGCACAGCGCAGTGTGGAGGAGGCATTCAAGCTCGCCGCAGAACCTGTGAGAACGGGCCCGACTGTGCAGGCTGTAATGTGGTGAGTGGAACCCACCCTCCCACCAGTCTTGAGCTGGGACTCCTGAGTGTGCACACACTAAAGCTCTATACCCACTAGATCCTCTGCACACACTAGACACTTTGCAAACAGTAAGTGTTCTGCAAACATCAAAGTCTCTGCAAACCCGATGTGTTCTGCAGACACTGTAGCTTCTATAGGTGCCAAGAGCTGTATAAACGTTGACATGACTAAATGCTCTGTATACACTAGGTATTCTGTGGGCACTGTGCTCCCATGCACAGGTCTGCAAACATGAGATTCTCAATAGACCCCAGATGCTCTGCAAACAGTAAACACTCTTAATGACATTAAACATGACAGGTCTAGGCACTATATGCTCTGGACTTACTACGTGCTGTGAATCATGTCAGTTTCCCTGGTTAATGGCTCTGGAGGAGACACTGGACATTTAGAGTAACCTGCAGGCTTAAGTGTTCACATATTGGATAAACTGCCCAGGAGGCTCTGAGTTATGATTTCTGAACTAGATTAAAGGCTTTGCCCTGCTTAACTCTAGTCCCTGTATTTGGTTTGGGAAAATGGATAAAGTGTCCATAATGAGTTCCCTGAGGATTAGAACAGGGGATGAACCTGACACACTGAGGCTGGAGGAACTTTGTGGAGCTGAGCACACTCGTGCGCGTGAAGAGGGAATAAAAGACAAACGACAGTTTGTTTTTCTTCTGCCTTAACAGGTTGTGTATCTTTTAACACTTTAAACCCTTAGATAAAATTCCACTTGTAGTTTCTAAACATTTGCAATTGGGAGAACTTTCCAGAGACCTGGGGTGTGCCGCCGGGCCAGCTGTCAGAGTGGCTGGGCACTGTTGCAGTGGGGCCTGCACCTCACTCACCTCCCTGGTGCTGGCACCAGAGTGGCTGCAGGACGGTGGGGGTGTTCTGGTGAGAATTTCTGCACCAGAGAGGCTGGGCTGGCCCCTGCCTCGCCGATCTTCCCAGCTGTCTTTGCAGCACTTGGGACCTTGCTCCTTCAGGCTGAGTGTGTTTTTATGCTGCTGTAACATTTGTTTTTGTGAGATGCAGAACCACACACCCAGATAGCTTGGGAGAGGCAGAGCTAGGAAGTGGGTTATGAAGTGCTTTGTCAGAAAATACGCCTGGCCCAAGGAGATTTCTGTTATTGGAATTTGCAATTAGATTCCTTCTCCTCACACTGGAGAAGATATTGCAGAGGCTCTAATAGAATCTGTTACTGATGTAGATGCGTCTTTCCCGGTCAGCCTGAATTAGCTCTCAACCAGGAGAAATCTCTGTGTCCAATTTAGGATGGTGCATTTATTGATATTTTAGATGCTGGAATTTTAAATTATTAAAATGTGAAGGGTCAATTTGTTAATCAACACCTCTTCTAGGAAATAATTCCAATGCCGTATCTTTGCTGTTTGTTGAATCGTACCATTTCCTGCTCTGTGGCTGTTGGGCAGGGCTGGGGTCCATCGCTGGGTTTGGCACCTGCGCTGGGAACGCACAGGGTGGGGCTGAGTGCATCTGGTACAGTGATTTACAAACATTTGCAATTCGGAGAACTCAGAAAATATTTCAAGTCATTCATGTTCTTATTGCAATGGATTTCAATAATTACATTTAAAAATAGTTTAATGAAATGAAAAAATTACATTAGGGAAAGATTATTTCCTATGGGGTCCCTGGGGGGGGGGGAGAGAGAGAGAGAGAGAGAGAGAGAGAGAGAGAGAGAGAGAGAGACATCTGGTCGTAAATGTAAAAATTGAGTGTCTTTCAAAAATATTAATGCATGTATAGCTCTATTTATGCCCAAATTTATAGAATTGTGGCTTACGAAATGTATATTATAACAGTTTTCAAACCCAGACAAATATTTGACAGTGAGGCTTATGTCAATTTGCAGAGAGTTTCTTGTCCTTTTCCCCAGAGTTAATCAATTGCAGTGTTTTTCCGGGACGGTGTTATTATGGCTCAGTGGAGTAACTGATTTCTATACAGTAGCAGCCTGACGTTTATTTTCCTTCTGGCATTTATTCCAGTTTCTGTCTTTTCCAAGGCGAGGAAAGCCAAACAAGGAAAGTAAGCAGGACTGAGGAGTGGCTTTGGTTGTTTGGATTGCTTAGAAAATGTGGCCTATTGATTAAATTCCTAAGAAGTTTATTTAAAAGGGATAGCTGTGTAGGTAGATGAAACATTTATCTTTGTATTCTCACTGCTGTTTATCAGTCGTTGGTTACAAAGTATGTTTGTTTTTGATGGTGCACGTAGTGGCAGTGAGTGTGGCTGGTGTGCCAGGAGGTCTGCTGTTTCCAAACCTCCTCCTCTGATAAGAGGATGGTATTTCCCTCCCTCTAGAGCTGGTTTAGGAGTCAAAAATGGTGAGGTCTTGGAGGTTCTGGAAGAAAGGCTTCCAGCCCTGGGCCTTCTCTGTTGAGCTTTTTATTCTCATTGCCTTAATGGTTCCTCCTGGGCCCCCACGGCGTCTGAGCTTAAGCGTATTAAAAGTAGTAGTATGCTCATGAATGCTTATTTACCCAGCAAAGGACACGTTTGCAGAAAGAATCAGTTGCCTTGAATTCTGCAACAGCTTATGAGGAAAGAAAGTCAATTTCACCAAGATGAAAATGCATACATTGTGCAAAAATGAAAAATGATGTAAAAAATATATATAATAAAAAAATAGAAAAAAAAGAAAGTCAATTTCCAGTGTGAATAGTTTATAAAAGATGGGAAATCTTTTCTCGCCCCACCAATTTAAAATTGAAATTTCCTGAAAAGTTTCACTATGAAATTCATACATCCCTGTTCTTAAATAAATCACCAAGCCTTGACTGAAGTCAAGTTAAGAGAGGTTCAGCTCAGACTGTCAAGGACCTGACTGAGAGCTTTTGTTCTTTTAGTGAAGTCTGCTCTTAGAGTTCCGCATGTGGATTTTCTTTGAGATTCTGGCCTCAGTTCCTTTGGCTAAATAAACAGGAGGGGATTTGCTATATCCCATAGTAGTTCTGCCTCCACACATTTCCACAGCAACTGCAACATTTTGTGTTCCTGCCAGTAGTGTGCAGGGCCCTACATTCTTCAAGCCAAAAGAACTGAGATCAGGATCTTGGGATTTTGGCACCCCCTCGTTCACTACCTCATGGCTCACCATTGCCAAAGGTAGAGATGAACTAAATACCCAGTGACATGAGTGGATAAGAAAAGGCACTCTCTGTGTATAATAGAATACTACGCACCCTTTAAAAAGGAGGTAGCTGTGCAGAATGCAGAAAAATGAACCCTAAACTCTTAATTCTTCATGAAATTAGCTAGTCACAGAAAGATAAGACCTATGTCATGCCATTTATACCAGGTATTTGCTGTTGCCTGTTTTGTAGGCTCACAGTGAAGTGGTGCCATCTTTGGGGAGTTGCAAATCACTGAGCAGGAAGTTCCAGAGCTACACTGACAGCACAGTACCTGTAGCCAAACATATAACACCACATGCTTAAAAGGCTCAGAGAGTAGATCATATGCAGAATGCTCTTATGATGACAGAATAAAGAAATAAGAAAGTAAAGGTCAAGGAAAGCAAGGTCCAGGCTGGGGACGCTTGGGAGGATGTGGAACTGTGGGCTGTTTGGGACCAGATGGACAGTCACAGAGGGGTCTGGCCCTTGGGTAGCTTCTCAGTGTGTCACTCTGAGCTCATTGGCCTCTGTCATCCCCCTTCAAGTGAGGGGCCAAGCCAAGCAGGACTCTGAGATCCTGGTGAGCCTTCCTGGGGCCCCGGGCACATATGTCCCGCTGACTGGTTGACCAGGATGGAAATGCCCCTCTCCGGTGGCTGAGACCTCTGATGAGTTTACAGTGGGCCACGTCACGACATTCATGGGACAGACTTTCCATCTGTTTCCAAGTCGGTGTTTCTAGCAGCAGCGGGTCTGAGGTCCCCTGGGCCTCGCTGCTCCTGGTGCCCGGTCCCTGCACACACATGGCCTCACAGAGGCAGTGCAGACACAGAGTGACCAGGACATCCCTGGTCTCACCTACATCTCCAGTGGGTCAACTGCAGAGAAATAAGAGGTGTTAACACTCAGTTGTCTGGGACATAACATCTATTTCCAATCTAACATGTGTGCAAGCATGCACACACACAGCCTGTGTGCATGCATGAACACATGTGTGCACACGTGTGTCTGAATGTGTGTATAGTGCATATACATATATACATATTTTTGCCCAATAGCAAATGTAACACAGTCTTTGATAAAATGGAAACTACCCCCATCAGTATTGGCACCAGCACACAATTTTGGGGGAAAGAGTTCTATTAAATAATATACCAGCTAGCCTTTGATATATGATTTTTCTCTATTAATGTTTAATCAGCATACCACTGTTTCATAGTATTACCTTATGTTAAATATAAACATCCATATTTGGCACATTTATGTTTCATTTTAACCTGTTTGGATAATATCTAGTAATGGTAACGATAATCAGCAGATCCAGTTGTACAGGCCCGAGGACTGTGTGATTGCACATGAATTTTTTTTTAAAGATTTATTTATTTATGCATACAAGAGCTGGGGTGCAGGCCAGAGGTTTGGGGGTGAGAGGATTCACCAGGGACAGAGTGGGGAGCAGAACAGGCGGATCTACTGAAATACTCTGCTGAGGGGAGCAGCAGGGAGACAGGAGAGGTCTGCTGCACCATGTGGGTAGCTCCCTGCCTGGGGATCGAACTCATGCTGCAGTGGGTGCCAATAGCTTCATAGTGCTGAGGCTTAACCCCTGCACCACCAGGGAGGCCCCGTGACATGAATTCTTGAAGTGAAACTATAATTAAACACACTGAAGTGGCTATCCGGGCACTTGACTGAAACCCTTTCATGTACTAAAATGCTCGCCGTAGCCTGGGGGGTCCTAGAGAGGAACCGCGGATAGTGTTGTCCCCAGCACCCACGGCCGCTCAGCCTCCTGCTCTGCGCCTGACTGTGCTCCTCTGAGTT